AAGTCAAACATCAGCTGTTAAGAAAGATCATGTCTCATCAGAATATCTGTGATACACGTTATAGCCAGTTCCCCTGACACACAGGGAGCAGTACTGGTGACTAAGGACCGGGAATTTCAGTAACAAACACGGGCACCGTATGGGAGCACAGTCCAGCCAGGCGCCGGAACGAACACCTTCATTCCTCAGCTCTTCGGCCATCGCAGCCCCTGGCAAGAGGGCTCTTCTTTCTTTGTTGCGCGTGGGTCACCGGCCAGCAGTGACCACGGAACGCTGTGGATGGCTCGACGATAAACACGCGAGAGAAAACAACACATGCACAGAGACAGACTAGTTTCTGTGGGGAAGTAGGGACGAAATGGCCACCCCCCCTAGTGGGGAGCGCGCTGCTTTACCATCCATACCTGCTTTTATTAGGCTCATTTTGCATAATAATTCAGGTAAAGTACAGTACTCATTCGGGGAAGTAAGGAACTATAGAAAACAAAGAACTCTGCTGGTCTATTGAGTTGGGGGTCAAAGAGCTGTAAGACTGAGGAACAAACTAACTTCCTCCTAAGACCCTTCTCATTCAACTGAGAGCATTCTAAACAAAGGAGGTTTCACAGTAATTTACATATTCTTTCTTAGGCCTGATCACCCTGGGGAATCCGCACTTCTCAGTACCGAGCTGCACCACCCTGTCATTGTTTCAGGCTTAGGTGGAGCAAGGGAACTAAGGCAACCGAGAGATAGGGAGATTTTCTTCCAGACGCTGAGAACTCAGACTTTGTCAAAGCCGAGGAGTGAGGGTCCATCACCCCCTTTTGCTGCAGCCCCCCAAGTCCTTCTTTTGGGGGGGCCTCCCAAAGTGATTGTGCCTGTCTTAGGTCGTTCCCCCCGTGGGGAATCTTACCCGTCTTTGGCTAACCGACCAAGCTTTTGGGGGTTCAGTTATGAATAAAGCAGCAGAAGCAGTATTCCTGCCAGGGAGATAAGCTTTTGTCTCCTTGCTGGCTCACGGTTCCAAGGGCGTTCCCTTAGCTTTAGCCTAGGCGGGGGTTTCAGCCTCTGATACCAGTCAGGGCAGTTCCCAACATTTCTTCCCACTTTACTTGCCCAAATTTAAAGAGGTCAGGTGACTGCTTGGCTTTACCAAGCAAGCAGGTTTCAAGCTTGCATTGATCCCCCCTCCCACCACCCCATTCCTCCGCTCAAAGCCTGGCCTTTTCGGGACAGCTTCCTTTCTCTCTGATCATCACAGATTTGGGAGGATGGGGATTCCTTTATTCCAAACAGCAGCTGTTGCAGAGTGAGAACACTGGGAAAGAACAGCCCTGTGTCCTAATTACCTATGGCAAGGAAAACATCTGTGCGGGGAAAGTAATGCAATTAATTCTCAAGTCTAGCAGTTGCATACATTAATTCACGTTAATTAATGCCAAATTACAAGATCCTTCCTATGGCATCACATCATACACTCCCCGGAATTGAATATGGAAAGAGTTCATCATACTTAATTCTATTACAGCCAGCCCTGGAGGGAGTGAGAGTGATTGGTCCCTGGCTATGAAGCGCAGCCCGGTTCTTTCTGTTGCCATTGGGAGGAGAAAGGGAACAAACCAGGAGCACTTCGCCAAGGGCAGGCAGCGCAAAGCCCAGCCTTTCCCTCCTGCTCCAAGTTCACTTGGAGTTGTTCTGAGCAAGAAATGTGTCCCAGGCCTCTTCCTGGGGCTTTGTGTGTGTGTGTGTGTGTGTGTGTGTGTGTGTGTGTGTGTCATGCAGTTGTACATTTTGTACAGACAGCCCAGGGACAGGCTCACTGTACAGCCCCTCCCCAGCATGGGGAGTGGAGGGAGAGAGGGGAATTTGAGATGGTTCTCTGGTCCTGTGAGATGGGCCTCGCAAGCCCGCCCGGACCCCCTCCCCGACCCAGGTGAAGGGTGCTGGTGGAGATTTGCGTGCAGACTGTTCATCTCTTTCCCATCGCTGCCTCTGTATTACTGTTGACAACTCATATATAACACATCTTTTATTCATTTTTTCCTGTGCAAACACGCATACACAGATAGCTATATATACATCTGGCACAAAATTGGGTCCATATGCACATATTTTGGTAACCTACTTTTAAGAAACTTTTATTTTGGAATAAATTTAGATAAACTGAAAAGTTACCAAGACAGCACAGCTTCACCCAGCTCCCCTCATGTCAATGTCTTATTCAGCCATGGTCTATTTTTCAAAACTCACAAAGGCACATTGATGAAATATTATTAATTGGTAATCTCTTTGTGTAATATGAAATGTATTAAGCATTTCTAGAAATCCGTATATACTCTTTAGAAGCAAGATTTTTTTGATAGCAGCTCCTTAAAAGAGCTCCCTCACTCTTTATGTACCAAAACTGGGTTTAAATGCCCTTTAACTAAACCAACCCGTGGCGAGGAAGTAGGAGGACCTTGAATGGGCATAGACCCAGGAGGACTGATTCTTGCATACAGGAGCTTCTATCACGTGGAGGAAGGATGAGCAACAGATTTGGAGAGGAAGGGAGGAATGGGTATTAGGCAGGTCGCCAACACTACCTGATATAGATATACAGCTGGAGGACTCAAATTCAGTTCAACCAGTCTTTTTAAGGACCTACTATGTGCACCAGACTGATCTAATCATTGTGAAAAGGAGCAAAAGAGAAAACAGGAGTTTTATCATGTCGGTCGATGATAACTGACATTTGTAAAAGTTTGAGTTTCAAAACACTTAGCATAGTTTCATTTGTTTTCATTAGTTCTTACAGGCAAACTACCAGATAGTTGACACCGCCATCCTCAGTATGAATGAAGGTGGCAAGGCTCAGGAAGACTAAGCAATTTCCTTTGAACTATTCAGCTAATAAGTGACCACACCAGAACTTAAGCCCAGGTCTCAAAGTTGCCAATTTTCATTGTTTCTACGATCCCAAGTTACCTTAAAAAAAAAAAAACAGAAGTCAACTGGAAGTTGTAAAAGGGTCTGGTGGAGTGTGAAATTGTGAATTGGGGTTTTTGCGTGCTGTGGGGAGGACCATTCTGGGAAGGGTTTAGTCCCAGAAATTGTATTCAAAGACAAAGATCTTGAGTTATTCCCTGAAGTGGAACCATTAGAATGTCTGAAAAAGGAGACAGGGAAGGGTGAGTACAGGGCTCTTCTTTGGTTTATCACTGGCAGTGATTTCCGCAGGCCTAGGTGGGTTAAAGGACTTGAGAGCTATCCCCATTCGTCATTTCTGCATATGGCAGCCAGATGGAGGAGGCCGAGGGTAAAGCTTTCCTCCTTCAGTCTCCTAAGAGCTTATCAGCAAGCAGCACATCAGTGATTGTTCAGATGGAGCAAATGTGCTGGCTGCCCCTACTGACTCTCCTGGTAGAATACAGGGATACCCAGGTTCCTTAAGTAAAGGCAGTCCTGGAAATTTCGTAAGGGAAACTAGTGAATCCTTATATTCAGCTCTTTATGGCATTGCCTATCCTTATGTCATGCAAATAAGTACCTACTGATTTATTTCATTTGAAAGAAAAGATTTCTGCATACATCTATGATGTCCTCAGATCAAACTCACCATTCAGTGCTGACTGGTGTGGCTCAGTTGGTTGGGCATCATGCACAGAGCTAAAGGTTGCCCACTCAGGGCACATGCCTGCATGATGGGTTCGATCCCCGAGGAGCAACGGATTGATGTTTCTCTCTCACATTCTCACTTCGATGTTTCCCTTCCTCTTTTTTCTCTCCCTTTCCCTCTTCCTAAAAATAAATACATCAATAAACTCACTCTTCATCAAGCACCAAAAAATGTAAAATAACTTCCCTTTTCATTCTGAACGACACATTACAATAAAGAGGCATGTTTCAATGAATATGTATGCGTTGTCTACTATGTGTCAGGAAAGGTGTTAGAACCTAGAAGTACAGCAGTGAACAAGAAAAAAGAGGTAGGTCTCTGTCTTCAGGTAGATTATATTCTCATGTGGGGAGTGAGAAATAAATAATGAACAGAGTGAAGGGTGAGTGATAAATTTCACAAAGGGAATTCACAGAGTAGCGTAAGATAGTAAATAATAGTGGAAGAGCCTCAGAAATAACAGCGAGCTGAAATCTAGAACCATCTTTTGGAGTAACCTGAAGAGAAGCATTTTAAGTAGAAAAAATACAAATGAAAAGTCTCTGACGTGGTAGAAAATTTGGCAACTTTCTGAACATAAAGTGGAACAGGCTGGAAGAGTCACAGGGAGAGAAGAGTTTAGCATAAGGGAGGCTGGGTTGGTGGGCAGTGGAGGGTCTAAAGCCACGGAGGCAAAAGGAGTTTTAAGTAAGGAGGTAACATCTGAGTAGTAGAGAGGCCAGAATGGTTGTGGTTGAACAACAGGGACAGCCTCCCTGGTAAAATTTGCTTAAGAGTTCCTGTGCTATGTTTATCATCTGCTGTAGAATCTCAGGTGAGAATCTAGGTCTTAATTTACTCATTTATAAAATGAGAACAGAGTTTTTAACTCAAGAATCCCTTCTCTATTCTGTTTCACTTCTAATTAGTAGTAGAAGAAAAACCTCCATCTCGACATCGAACCTGATTATTTATAACAGCAGCACTTCCAGCATCTGATGATTGATGATTGATGATTGTGTGTTTCCCTCTTTGTTAATCCAAGGTCATAGTGCGGAGGTGAAGCCTATTGAGAAAAAATACCATGAAAGCACAAGTATTATTGCCAGTTTTTGAACATACTTTCATTTGGTTTAGAAGGGAAAAATGAACTGACGAGCATTAGAGCTCTAGGAGGGCAGGAGTTGGTAGAGGCAGACAGCAGTGATGGCGTTGACAGTGAGTACATTCATGACAACAGTTATAAAAATAACCATGATAATAATGTGGCTAACAAAGAATGTGAGGTTTGTGTAAAGACTTGGAGTTAGCAAGGGAAGCAGACAAGGTCCACTGTGATTCTAATACTGTGTGTGTGGAACCCCACCCCTCTTTTTTCCAGATTCACAATACCTGACTTGCCGAATGCAGAACTGCACGGAAGCCAACAGAAATAAGCCTTTCCCAGGCTACATCGACCCAGACTCCTTGATTGTCCAGGATGATTATGTGTTTGTTCAGGTATGAAAGGTCCACTTCTGCTGATTGTCTCAAAGACAGTTTCCCATTTCTGTCCCTAAGGCAGCCCCTTTCACCTGCTTCCTCTCAAGAAAAAAAAAAGTATTATGTTTTTGACAAAAAGAACATTACCAAGTATCAAAGCACCCATACTAAGAGAATATTAATTAGTTCCTCTGGCCCGTAGGGGGCCTGGGGGCACTGCTCAGAGCACCAGGCTGTCTCCCGAAGGATGCACGGTTCCATTCATCCCCCTCATCTGCATTCCCAGGAACCCCCATCAGTCATCAGGGGGGCTGAGCAGAAATATCAGTCCCTTCCTATCAGGAGAACGGTCAGCCAATCCGCCTCCTCCCCAACATGCACCTTAAAAATAGAGAAACAGGTGGGAACAGGAAGCTGTGGGGTGGCTGGGGGTGGTGGGAGGCTGAGAAAAGGTGGTGAGTAATCAGCCGTTATTGTCATGCCCTGACTGTGATTAGGAGAAAGGGAATTTAGATGAGATGTATTCAACAGGGTTTTCACCTCCTAAGAGAGTGGGAAGCAGTTTGAGAAGCCCAGGTTTCATGTGCATGCTCGCATGCTTTATTTCTTCTTAGTATTTAAGGATTTAAGGAACCTCTCTCTCTCACACACACACATATGCACATATGTGTGTATGTATATAGGTATACATATATGTATATATGTGTGTGTTTATGTGTATAAACACACAGGATTGAGGCACACTATTATATTTATTTTAAGTTAAAGTATTTAATCCCATGGTTTAAGGAAGCAAATGTTCAAAATGCCCAACGTCAGCCTATCCACTTTGTAAATGTTTCACAAACAATCACACACACACACACACACACACACACCCTTTTCCTTCAGGGAAATGAGCAATGAGTACTCCGATGGCCTCACGTCAATTATCCAGTGGCACTGTGATGGTTACACTCACTGGTGCTCGCCCTCATTCATTTCTCTACCAGTTTTGCTTCTGGGAACCTTCTCTGTTGTCTAATGACCGTTTATAATCCACATATATGACTTAAATATGAGCATCCACTCTGCGTTTAGAGTTTCAGATCATTCTATCCATGCCGCCATGAGCATGACCCTGCAACTCATCACCGGAACTAAGAGGTGATCTGGCCACATATTGGTGAATACGATCATTTTCTAGCCATATTTTTTGTGCCTGACAGTCACCCAAAGTACATGTTGACATTCCAAGTGTGCAAACTCCAGCTGACATCCAAACTCCAGGAACTTACATGGGTTAAGAGTGGCCACAGAAACTCATAACGTACAGAGTATGATAGTGGCCTCCAGGTATTAGGAGGTAGGGAATGGGGAGATGTCAGTCAAGCCCTCAAACTTCCAACTGTAAAATGGGTAAGTTCTGGGGATGTAATGTACAGCATGGTGGCCATACATAATAAGACCACATTATGTACTTGAAATTTGTTAAGAAAACTGATTTAAATAGTATCACCATGCACATACACACAATAATCTTATTAAGTGAAGGGATGGAGGTGTTAATTAACTTTATTTATAGTAAATGATTTTATACTATGCATGTGTATCAAATCATCACATTTTACACCTCGAATTTGTATATGTATATGTCAGCAGTTTTCAACCTTTTCATCTCATGGCACACATAAACTAATTACTAAAGTTCTGCAGCACACCAAAGTGTATGTTATTCTTTTTGCTGATGTCACCAAAAAAAAGTATGATTTTGTTTCACTTCACATTGGAGGGCTGTTGTGTTGGCTGTCGTCATTTTTTTATTTGCCAGTCTGAGGGAGAAGAGGTCAGTGCCCCTGAAGACATAGTCAGGTGTTGCATGTTATAAGAATTCTTGCAGCACACAGGTTGAAAATCTCTGGTGTATGCAGTATGCCTCAGTAAAGTTGGGGGAAAAGAGTGGCTGCAAAGGAGAGAGAGATGGGCAGTTCCCTGGAAGGTGTGCATGCTGAGGTAGACACCACACCCCATCTCGCCATCCTCACACCCATGGGGTTCATTGGACAGTATGTGCAGGGCAGATTTAGATGAGGCAACTCAGATCTTTTCTGGGAGACAGAGATCCAGAGTGACTTTGGGCCCGGCTTGACTTTCCACCAACGTTTCAGCAGCACTGCTGTGTGTAGGACGTGCTGGCAGTCGTCAGTGTCACAGCAGCGAACTGGAATCCAGCCCAGAAACGCGAGACTGCACTTCTGCCACTGTGCCAGCCAGACCCCTTCCTTCCGAGATGGCCTGGGGACCCTTTCCCACGGCCGTAGTCTTGGAGCTAGACAGCTGGGGGGCTTGATGGACATGGATCCCATTTACCTCGAGGCTTGTATCTTTAAAAGTTAATAATAACTGAAAATGTTTCCTGGCTTCTGAACCACAGTGAAAATGGGAGAAGTGTGTTTTTGTCCAGTGGGTCCAGTCTGGGCCTCTGACCAACTCACACATGCTGTTTAAGTTGTTTTGGAACGGCACGCCAATTCCATTCATTTGTCCATAGTAGTCGTTCACACCGAGTGTTGGCAGCTGCCCTCTTCCATTCAGTGGCTGTTCCTCTAGGACCTGCAACTGGTGCAGTAGCTCTTCTTACAACCTGTGTGTTTCTGACCCAGCTGACGTCGGGAGGACGGCCGCACTACTACGTGTCCTACAGAAGGAATGCCTTTGCCCAGATGAAGCTACCCAAGTATGCCCTGCCCAAGGTATGGCCAGAACCCCTTCCCCACTGTAGTGTTTCCTCCGATTCACATACACCTGTCTCCTCCCTCTTTCCCAACACGACGTCTGTCTCTCCTTGTTGCGGATTTACTTTCATCCACCGCCTTCGACCTCTGTTTCTCAAGTTCACTGTGCCTCACTTTTTTGTGCCAATCTTATCACTGTCCTTTATCGGCTCTCTCTCTCGAATTGTTGCTATAGGAGCATCTGTATGAATTGATAACTGATTTGCGTTTGCTTTCCAGTAGCATTTTCAAGCAGTATGTAGTGGTTTTCTAGCAAGACAGAAAATACACGTCAGGTACCATGTCTCAGTGCCATGGGTGTGTTGTGTTTCCATCCTAATGTTTTTTTGTTATTAATTATTGAGAGGTGATGCAGCTATATGGTATCCAATCTTTGCTTTCTCTCTCAATGGAACTTATGAGACAGGTTATCTTTAGAGTCCTGAGACACAGGTAATTTTTTAGATTGCCCCAAAGACATACTCCTTTGAAAACAGTGGCGGACACAAGTTAGAGACTCTCAACTGCACAAGTCCAGGGCTCTGCCCAGAAACGTGGAAGAACTGCGTTAATATGGAGCGCCACCTAGTGGAGGTCAAACTGACAGGAGCTCAAAGCTGTGGATCTGAAGTCTTGAGTCATTATTGTGTGTGTTTCAAGTGGCCATACCTTGATCTTCAAGCAACAGAGATTTGTGTGACTGTAAGAAGAGATTGTGTAGGTTTAGATCTAGGTATAGCTCAGCTTTTAAACCTTAGCATTAAACAAAATACTTAAAGAACTTTTTTTTATTGAGTCCTGTATTTTTAATCCATGACTTTGTAGTATGCTATCTGGAACCAGCACCAGCTCGCTGCCCAGGAAATCAAGTGACAGATATAGCTCAGGAGCACTGGGAGTCTCCTCCCCTTGGAGAGCCTATGGCAGCTAGTTGCTCTGGCCGCTCCAGGAAGAATTCTCTGTAACCATAGCATAGTGAAAGGTGGGCTGCAAACCTCAGCACATTAGAGGTAATAACACAGTAAATTGCACTATTAACTCCAAAGAGCTATGTTTATGTTAGTAGTTATTTCAGCTGCTAAGAGAATCATGACAGTCGTAGTTGCCCAGAACTATAGGTCTCTACCTGTGTGCACTTAAATCCTCCTTGTGTTTGATTTGACTTCAGATGGTTACCAATAAGACAAAAGCTTACAACTTTGGGGTTGCGCCTTAGAGAAGAATGGGATAAAGTCAGTATGTAAAGGAAAACTCAGTGTTGTTGAAATTACCCTTTGTAATCTCTTAGGAAGGCCCAGGAGAGACATGAACACCTTACCTCAGTAAGACCAACGGACCTGGTTTGTCTTGCTCTTGAGCACTAAAATAAATTTCTGTTTCTTTGACCAACAAATAAAGCAGTTGACTTGCAAGATTTAGCACCTTTAAAGATAAGAACTATACTCAATGCAGTGAAATGCTCTTGTTCCAGAAGCATGTAAGAACTGAGACCAATTTAGTAAATAGCAGACTCAAGTCACTCATCTCGTGCTCACTCTTAGGTAAATATGTTTTGAGTGGAAAGGTCTCAGCCAACCCGCATGCTATTTGCAGCAAGACTGAGGCTAGAGCTTAAGCCTCCGGATTCCCAAACTGACATTCTTTATATTATGACTTTCTTCTCTTGGGAGAAATCCATAGGTTCTATTATTAGAAGAGAGCAGTATCCCTCCAAATTTTGATAAGCTGAGGAGCACCCAGAAAAATATTTCCATTGACCTAAGGAACCCCAGAAACGGTGGTTTAAAAATCAAGGAAACATCCGTGGACCTGTTGCTGGAGTGTTAGGAAACACACACTTCGCATTTCTTCTTCAGAGCCATCTTGCTAGGGCCACCAGATCACCGTTGACAGTTGTGCCCAGTGGCACGGCACCAGTCGAGAAGGACAAGCTGGACTCGACACCCAAGTCGGCTGTCTGTATCCTCCCCAGCTCTCCCAGACGAGCGTGCTCCATTACTCAGCCTCATCTGAGGTCTGAGAGAAGATGGCCGTGATTAATTTAGCCTGTCCTTAGAAAAATGGGAGCCGTGCAGCTAATGAATGTGTTATTTGGTCCAAGTGGGAGTGTACTATTTAAGGCAATGAGATGCCTCATTACAGTCCCATTACACCTTCAAAGAGAAGCCCCGCTCGGTGGAAGGATCCACAGTGAAGGCGCATGTATTTCACAGCCCTCTATCAAAGCCAGGGCTGCTGTGGCTGGAAAAGAACAAAGCTTCCTGCCGCTAAAGGAATCGAGACAGACCGGTACTTTCTTGCTTAAATTTCCTTCATCATCTGCTGCCATTGTATCAGCTTTTGAATGACCATGGTTACACTGAGCTGTGTCAAAAAAAATTTAATATAGTGGTAAAGATGGCCAGAGAAGGGGGTGGGGAGAGTTCAATATTGCTGTCCCCATGAAGAGCATGAGGCCGGCCAACAGGGAGACAGTGACAGTTTCCTTCCCTTAACTTACTTGGAGCTCATTCCGAGCTACTCAAGTGAGATAAATGAGGCAATACATATGAAAGTGCTTTGAGCATTTTGGAGGACAGATACTCTATAAAAGCAAGGTAATATTATTATTAGTATGGATCTAGTTGTCTGTGCGGTGGAAGATCGATGCGAACTGGAGTGTGGGTTGTGCAAAGGCTGCTTGATTCACAGCAGGACGTCCGAATTCTGGACCTAAATCTGCCACTAACCTGCTTTGAAACCTTGGGCTGGTTTATCAATTTCTCTTTCCCTGTTTTGTTTGTTTGTTTTCTTTCTTACAGTTTCAAAATAAGGAGCTTAGGCTCACTACAATATTTCCTCACATGTGATACTAAGAAGAAAATGTCCTGAGAGATGCTTCATGAACATTTGGTGCTATGATCAAATAAGTTTTCAAAAAAGAAACTTATGGGGTGGCGGGGGGGGGGGGGGGGCGGGGAATGGAGACAACTGTACTTGAACAATAATAAAAAGTAAAAAAATAAAAACACATATGTTCCTTGACTAGAGAGCACCGGCGGTCAGCTGGTGTGTTGAAGGCTCTAGGACGTGTTGTGGACAAGACAATGATATAATGCAGCTTTAATCAGAGCACTTTGCCAAAGGACCCTTTTTTACAGCTGTTGAAATCATACAACGCGGGTGTCCTACGGAGCAGACTTTAGGGAAGACTGTAGCAAAAGGTCTCAAAGATCACTTCTTGGTCTAAAATGCTGTGGCTCAGGAGAAGCGTTCACCATAAAGTGCTGCTTAGGAGAAAGAGCATGTCTTCCTGATAGAGGAGGATGCAGGCAAGAAGAAAAAAAGAACAGTGTCGTTTAAATATGTCAAAGCATTCCATTAAAATATGTAAAACCAACATCATTTTTTTAAAACGTGTTGATTGCATGTAATTAAATGATATGGATGGCAAGACGCCTCATCTTTGCCCTTACCTAGAGGCAGCCATTATAATCCACTGTTGCTGTATGACTAGTACCTTACCTGCCATAGACACTTGACGTGCCTACGTTTTCAGTTCCATACCCAGAAGCTAAAGGTTTGAGTGAGTGGCATAGCATATGTGATGCACTCTAGCCTCAAGAACTATTTAATGAGATATATATTGCAACCCAGACTGCAAAGGTTCACCAATGCACATATTTACTCCAAAGACACCGAAATCTGTTTTGTAGGAGCCAGGTTATTGCTGAAATACTTTCATTGAAATTGAGGGATGCCCCTGTAACCTGCTGACAAGGAATGGCACAGGAATTGGGAGTAGTTATTTAAAGATTCTAAATGCCAGGTTAAGAATTTTGGCCTTTATCCTATAGGAAATGGGGGTCAATAGAAGGTTTGCCCTCCATGGCTGAATAGCCCTTACATAATTTCTACAGCTAATTTCCTCCACTGTAAAGAAAAAAAAACAACAACCTTGGGTGAACCGATTTTTGTGGAGTATGTTAGTTAGTAACTAACATTTGCAGTCAGCAGAAAGACCACACCGGCCTTGCTTAGTCAATAAAGGGGTTTGAGGGGCTTACTTCCCTGAACATCACTGGCAGGTGGAGCAGATGCTCAGTGCCCGGCCCCAGCGAAAGTGTTCCCCAGTCTCTGGCTGACTTAATCCTCCCAGCCCCACAGAGGGCACACGACTCTCTGTATTTTGCAGGTAGAAATCCTGAGGCACAGAGTGTAGTTCACAAAGCTAAGTGACAGAGTCCAGGTTTGGACTCAAGTACTTTTATTTCAAAGTCTATTTTCTAAAACTCTTTTGCTCTACTGTCCTCTTGAACCAAAAAGTGGGGCAGACTTTGAAGTTGTTCACCTTCAAAAACTCAGCGCCACAGAATTTGACCCACCTCCTCTGCCTTTGGAGTCTGTTTTCTTCAGGACTGGCTTTATCTTTTCCCTCCAAGATACGTTTCTATCGGATTTAGACTTTTTAAACTTTTTTCTGTTGGTAAACCAGTTGTAAGAGATGTTCTTCACCCCTCTAATAATTTCAGCTTCATTCCAAAGTCATGGTGAGTGACTTTGCTTGGGTTGTATATCCATCACAGATCTAATGGATGTCATCAGGGATACTGGATATTCTGAATGCTAGGCCTGTAATTCTACTTCTGGTGTCGAGAGTGAAAGGAAGCAGCAGAGACTGGGTACAACGAACACACTTGTCTGCAAAGGATAAGGATGTTTTTCAATGAAGATCAAAATAAAATTATCAGAAGAAATGTAAATGGGTTGATACAAACAATGACCATCCTTCACTCCAAAACTTAGTTTGCAGTATTGACCATGTTGAATTGATTGGAAGGATTTCTTTTTGGCCTCCTCACTCTGGATTCTCTCAATAAAAGTGTGACCAAACTTTAGAGCTGAGGAATACCAAACCTTTTAGATCACAGGTGGCAAACACAAGGCCCGAGGGCCAAATCCTCCTTCCAGCTTATTTTATCTGGTCCCGCACCCTGTTAAGGGCCCAGCAGCACCAAGCTCTTTGCCCCTAGTTAAGGAGTAGTTACATCTGTACAGTCCTCAAATTACAGTCAACCCTTTGAAGGCAACCACGAGGCTGACGTGGCCCCCTGTGAAAATGAGGTTGACACACCTGCTATAGAAGAAGACCTCTTCCTTCTGGGATCATTTGAGTTCATTTTGTTCATGGCTGAGAAAGAGAGAGAAACTTGCTCCTTTATGTTTAAAGCACAGTCAGAGCTGAATTGGTGATTGATTCATTGAACAGGGACATATATTACAAAAAGAAAATCAGTCGAGGAGGTAGGTAGAATTTGCCATCCTGGAATTTCAACCAAGAAAGGTTGATAGATCTCCTGAAGCTTTTCACAAGTAGAGAGGATGGTTTGTCTGGGAAAATTTGAGTGCTAAGCTACACAAAGGCCAAGAATCTTTCCATGTTGTTTTACTTTCTTTATGCTTACGTATAATTTTGTTGTTTGGTTTTGATTTTTGGTGTTTTTTTTTTAAAGTTATACCAATGCCCCCCACCTCGGACAAAGGGTGAAGACTGCCACAGCCACATGTGCAGGCATCTGCCAAGGGAGACACAAAGCCTTGGTCTGTGTCGGCTTTTCTCTGAACACCCACGTCACTAGCGCTCTGAACAAGGGAAGGAAGATTTGAAATTCCCACCCCAGGAACATCTGCTCACTGCCCCCACATTACCTTTGCCTTGTTTCTAACTCCGGGACCACCAGAGTCTTGGAAACATCATCAGTTATGCAGATTTTTTTTCCTCTTTTGCATAAGGTTTCCTGCTGAACTTCTCAGAGTAAAGGTTTAGATAAGCAGCTAAGTCCTTGAATGCTCATTAACATGAAGATTAGTGCTTTGGTTTCCCAGGTGAACATTATTCCTCGAGGGTTTCCAAAGGTTGCTGAGCCTTTGGAAAGTGATTATCAAACTTCAACGCACATGTTAATCACCCATGGATCTTATTAAAATGCAGGTTTTGATCCAATAGGTGAGACTTAAGGTTCGGTGTATCTAACACATTGCAGGTGGTGCCCACCCTGTGCCATGGACCACACTGAGAGATGCAGAGCTTGTCCATCTTCTCTCTGTTCCTCCAGCTTTTTGTGAAGGAATATGCCCCACATAACCTTTCTGAGCATATGCCATGATGTGGTTGGCAAATACATCAGGATGACTGATTCTCCGAAGTCATACATATTTGAGAAAGTATCCTTCAAATTATCTAATGAGGCAATTAAATTATATCAGAGCTCCCAAGCATCTCTCTATCCTATTTTCTCATGACCTTGCTGCCTAACCCCATAAGCGAGAAAGGAAATATATTAATAACACTCAACTAATTAATTATTACTTCGAAAATATGTGAAAGGAAAATCTCTATGTTCCGTTACAGTTGCCTAAGTGCCTATTCCACCATTTCTCATTAGATTCCACATTCTTTGGGTGCATGTCAGGTTAATTTATAAAACTCTTCTTCACTTTCCTGCGTCTTACTTTAGGACATGCACGTCATCAGCACAGATGAGAACCAGGTGTTTGCGGCGGTCCAAGAATGGAACCAGAACGACACCTACAATCTCTACATCTCAGACACCCGGGGTGTCTACTTCACCCTGGCCTTGGAGAATGTCCAGAGCAGCAGAGGCCCTGAGGGCAATGTCATGATCGACCTCTATGAGGTATGTCACAAGGCATGTGTGGTCCTAAGCCACTCCAGTGCCTGGTCTGGATGATGAAGGAACCAATATTGGCTGTTTCCTCCACCATTTTCAGTGCAGTGGAATTATGTGGCCTCATTCATTTTGGGGGAGGGAGTGAGTTGTCGAACATCTGTATTGGTTAATTTGCAATCCACAGGATAGCTCCAGGAGGGATCCTTTTCCCACCAAGTCCACAGGCCAGGAAGCCCCAGGGGGCCTGGAGCATGTCTGGGGAAGCAGTGAAGCAATCAAAGAGTTTCAGTGAAAAGGATGGAGTGTGTACTTTGAAAATAGTCTGAGGGGCCAGCAGGGCATCAGGATGAGTAGCAAGGGGGACAGCGGACCCTTATCTCTGAGGAAAAGAGTGAAGGGGACTTCTTTGCATGGCATCACAAGATACTCCTTTGGACTTGAACACCATTCTAACTAGATAACCTCCTCTGGCTAATCACCAGTCTCTCAGAGGAATGATGAGATAAGAGTATTAGGTCTTTCTTTCCCAAATGAGGAGTGTTGGGCGAGAAGCAGGAAGCAGAGTTTACCAGTCTTCCCTAAGGGCACTGTGGTCCTTTGTTTCTCAAAATGACCAAGACTAAACATGAAGTCTTATAGGTTGGATCAGTTATTTTTCTTGATGAATGCCGATGCTCTAATTGCCATTTAAGACACATTGGGTAGAAAGAAAGCTGCAATTTTGAGATGGATTATAGCCATTTGTCAGTCTTTTTTTAGCCATTTGTCAGTCATATCTCGAGCTATGAAGGATTGATAGTGGTTTACAATGACCCATTAAAGAACACATTCAAAATGTGGGATGTATAATTATATACCTATATTCTATCTGGAAAATACCCTAAAACTGGTTCAAGTATATGCAGTCATAATGAGCCTATCATTTGCTTGAGTTCAAGTTCAGACAGTTGAGTGGGTTTTGTATAAGGAGAAGCGTGTATGTAGTATACCAAGGAAAGAAACCAATTTCACTGAAGAAATTTCAATCTATCATTTACATTTCTTTTAATGCTATCTATACTCCTTCTCCTTTAGGAATTCTTAGGGATTTTCTTCCACTATTTGAACTTCTCAGTATGTATAAAGGCATGTTAACAAACTGTATGCCAATTCAGAGCCCAGGGATTTCTCATGGGAATTATGGTAGCATGACAAAGGACATAGTGTGTGTGTGTGTATTTAGAAAAATGCACTGCAGTCTTTTTAATATATTCACAAGTTTCTTCCACTTTCTTTCCTGTTCATGTTCCAGATAAATATAGCATCATATATCTCAGCCTCAAACTAAACAGTTTACCCATTCTGGCGATTTAGTTTCAATTTCGTATTGGATGCAATTGTGATTGAGAGTATACATTTTGGAGTGGGGTTGCCTCGGTTTAAATCCTCATGATACCATCTATATGTATTCTTGAGACACATCCAGTAACTTCTGAGCCTCAGTTTTCTCACTGAAAATATGGAGATAAACAGGGTACCTACTGGATAGAATTTCTCTGGGGACTAACAAGTTCATCTCCTTGAAGTACATGAACAGTGCCTAAAACACACAGCAAATTATGGACAGCTTAATGCATACTGTGTTCCAATGAGTGTAAGCCCCAGCTCAATACTCTGTTCTTATAGTCTCAAAAATCTTCTCGCATTGGTTAAATGTCTAACATATTTCCTCTATTTCAGATCTCTACTCCTTCCCATATTGCAATTAGCATGGCCATATGACATTCTTTAACACCAACTAGTCGTCTCCTTATAAACAAGTGTAAATTGCTACACTTCTTTCCTCATTTGGAAATGTCTTACCAACATTTAAACTTCAGGGGTGTTTTGTTGAAATGTCATACGCTATCTTGCCTTGATCCAGCACTTACAATAGAAAGATCCTGCTTCGAGTGTCTGGCTGGTACGAAGTCAAAGCAGCTGTTCCAGATTAATCTCCCAGTTTGCTTCCCTGCTCTTGGCTCTGTCCTTGTCCTCTCAAAAATATTTTCTGATTTTCAGCATGCATTTCCCCCTTCCTAATTATCCCCTCCCCTCTTCTCAAGTCAATGTGGAATAATATCTCCGGATAAAATTTGTTTTCTGCCAAACTAGAGAACATTTTAATTGGTCCCTTGATGATAGAAGAGATGACAGATTTGGACAGGAATGACTTTGCAATGTGCTGCTATTTGCAACTGTTTTCTCAAATGGTTTTCTGAATTTAAACACTGCTAACAGGTAAAGAATGAGAAGAGGAAGCTGAGTGACCTCTGGCCATGGCAACCATTTTTTGCTTATTCTTCGCATTTCCTCTTGCATTTCTCTTTTGCAGTCGACTGTCTGACTATCTGTAAGAAATCTGCTGGCTCTTATTATCATCACAGTAAGAGCAGTGGGGTGACTGCCTTATGTAAAGGTGTTCTGCATCCTGGGGCCTGAGAAGAAGGATCTTTGTTTTGTTAGCCTGACAGTTCGCAGCAACTAGAATTGAAATTGATGTGATCAGAGTGGCAGTGCCGTATCTGCTGATTACCTAGATAGAAAGAATATTGGCTGACGAGGAACCTGGCACAAATGGGCCTTAAATCTGATTGTTCTGGCTAGCGGGAAGCTGGGAGCCATCTAGCATGAATTTCCCAGTAGAATCGCAATGAATGATGAGCTCTTAGAAATAAATGAAAAGCAAGAAAATCCATAAATGAAGTAATAAGAAGCAGAGATGAGCAACCTAGGAGGTGGAGGGGACAGAGAACACATGGAGTACACATCTGCTCACCTTTGGGGGTGCCTGAAGTGACCTTTGGGGTGTTTTCTGTATGCCTCCGCCTGCCAGCTACGTGCCAGTCCTGTGTGTGTATGCTCTTTAAGCGAGTTTAGCAGAGGGAAACTGTACACTGGGTAAGGGTGTGCTGCGTCAGTTTATCGAGGATGTGTATTGTTGATGAGCCTTTGTGGGAAGATGCAGAAGGAAGCACAGTTCTCATTAAAATCAATCGCATTGCTCACACACATTGGACCCCTGTGACAAATGCGGTTGTCTCTACAGGAGAACAAGTGCGTGTATGACGAGACAGGGGACTGTCGGGAACAAAGTGTTGGGGAGCCATATTATATGATAAACTTACGGAAACCTCCGGAATTTCCCTTGGTGTGAGTTGCTCACTGAACATAGGCCCCATTCAAGAGAATCAAGAAATGGAAGCTGGGGAAGTTGGCGACAGAGCAAAAGTGCTGGAAACTCATTTTTGTTCATGAAACATCATAGTAACAGCAAATAGTTTGGGCGTCGTTGCGTGCCAAACACTGTGTAAAAAACCATCGTTGATTATCTAATTCAATTCATATATTACTTCTTGACATAGGGAGTGTAATCACTCCCATTTCACACGTCAGTAAATGGAGGCCGAGAGAACACAGTCATTTTTGCAAGATCACAGAGCTAGTAAGTGGCAGATTTAGCCTCTGAAGCCTAGCGTATGCAGACTCATAACTACAAACTGTTCTGTGTCTCTGGAAGAATCAGTAGTTGGGATCGTAGCTGAGTAACAGAGGAACATTGAAGGGCAGGGTAACATGTATCAGACTTTACCTAGCAGGAGCAGAAGTTAGCCTGGGAAAAGAAAATGGTCTGGGAAAGCCAACCTAAACAGAGGGAACAGATGATGGCCCTAGACCTGTTCGCTACCTTCTAAACCAAGCCCTGAGCCTGCAGTCACGCTAAATTCAGTGTTATTGTGCGGCTCTCCATTCTGTGGAGTGTTGTGCTTGTGTAAAAGGAGCCTAGAGACAAGTGCCTTAAAATTCTGTCATTCCTGCAGAGCACGGTGCTCCAGCGGCACCACGTGTGATGGGTCACAGGAGCCCGCGTGCCTGATGGTGGCCAGATCAAAAGAGATGTGACCAGTGTGTCTGGGACATGTGATTCCTCGCGCCTGCATCTGGTGTGGAGGATGAGAGGGAGCCTGACAGCTTTGGACAAGATCTTCCCCCTTCTGGGAAGTGAATATTAATTAATAATGAGGAAAAGCACTTTGGCTTAATGGACAATGACAGGTCACCCAGCCAAGTGGAAAGGTTTGTGTTGGGAGTGAAGCCACCTGGGCAACACATTCAGGATGCCCAGAACGTGTGCCTGCGTGCGTGAGCCACAGCGGGTGTCAAAAAAGACATGGTACATGTTCTGTTACACACGTAGTGTCCTCTCCATGTTTTAAGCGTGCTCTCTTTAAAAGAGAAAGCTCCCTGGCTAGTGTAGCTCAGTGGATTGAGCGCGGGCTGCGAACCAAAGTTTCGTCGGTTCGATTCCCAGTCAGGGTACATGCCTGGGTTGCAGGCCATGACCCCCAGCAACCGCACATTAATGTTTCTCTCTCTCTCTCTTTCTCCCTCCCTTCCCTCTCTAAAAATAAATAAATAAAATATTTTTTTAAAAAGAGAAAGCTCACCCATTGTCATGATGGAGCTAATACTTTGATGTCTTAGGGAAAGACTGCCTCTTACAATCCAGTATAGGGGGTAGGGAAGAAAAAAAAAACTCTCCTATCCAGGACATATTTATTACAGGACATGGAATGTCTCATCTAATTATCAAAGACTCTTGTCTCCCTTGGAGGAGAGTGCTGCATGATGTAGGCAGCAGGGAAGGAAGAACAGGGAGGCTGTTTTGACAACGGGGTCCGTGACTGCAGAGGTACTCCTGGTACCTGCCGAGGGTGTGTCTCTCCTGGCTGGGATCCTCCCTTTGAACAGAAAAATATCCTACCCCCTAAAGCCCAAAGAAATCACGCTCATGAGTATGCTCTCTTTCTTGCCACAGTGTTTGATTCATCTCTTTCATTTTCTTCAGATGTTGACAGTTTGGGTTTGTAATGGCAGTCTGAGTCAGAGAGGGTGGGCGGAATCATCTCCCAGTCAGCATGAGAGGCAGAAATGAGCAAGAAGAACTCTGTGCCAGGGTCTTCCCAGCTTAGCCTCTGCACGGAACATGGGAAAGATGGGAGAGGAAAGGACCCTTTCTTGGTAAATATCAGAAGGCAAAGGAGATAACTGGGCTCTTCCTTTAAATCACCAAAGAAACCAAGTCCCAGCACCTAGCATATTCCAACTCTCAAAACAAGGTCTGTAGAATGAATGTATCATTGTTCAGACATACTGGGTGCTATATCCCCAGTGCTTGTAAGAATATATGATAAATAGTTGAAGCTCAAAAATATTATTGTACAGCTATAGAGTAAGTGTACTACTGAATGAATAAAAGGCAGCTCCCTGTAAATATGGTACCCATATATGATGCTTCTCTCAGAATGCTCTAGGGGGAGAGAGAAGTTGGAGGAAATAGTGCAGTGAAGTGTGTGGCCTCTGGAGTTAGGCAGACTGACTGGGAGTCCAGTCCAACGGTTCTCTAGGGCGTGACCTTTGGTTTTCTCATCTGTAACGTGAGGACAACACTGACTCGACCACTTAGAGCACGTGGACAGATTGGTGAGCTCAGGCTTCTAAAGCCTTTCATAGAATGCCTACCACTTCATACATACTCAGTGAATCTGGGGTACTGTTATTGTGGTTATAGCTTCGAATGCAGAAGTCTTGCTACCTTTTTTATTAAACACAAAACCAGGATTTCTTGTACAAAGTGCTTTTTCTATTATTAATGTTAATGAAGGAATATGGTGGCTTGCATGACAATCCACAAGTTACACTAGAATGGGGGATTATAATGGAAAGAGAACAGGTGACGTCATGATGAATTAACTTGTTTCACGGAGTTTAAGGAGTACTTGGGAAGTGTTTGGGAAGACTGATGCCCTTAAGAAGTTTATGAACTTGTTAAGAGCTAAGACGTAGGTATCATCTATATGAGAGACAAATTGGAGGACAGAGAAAAAGAGTTTGGGACTGCTCAGGAAAGAAGGAGATGCCAGTATTTTTTGGAAAAAGGCTTATGGAACTAGGCCTGGAGGGGTGGATAGGTAGAGAGTGTCAGGGTGTGTTATCCAAGGGACTGGGAGTAACCTATGTGGTCAAAGAGGGTGAGATGCCATCCTGGGGCCCAGTGTAAGTGCTGATGTGCTTTGTGGATGGCTTGAGGTTTGAATTCTGACACTTCACATTTAAAGTCTAATCCAAATGGCTTATGTGATATCAGAGAAGAAGAAACAATCACTAATTACCTTTGAGGCTTCCGGTTTAAAAATTCCCCGTATGAGAGGCAAAGGAAGAAAAGTGGGCCCTCAACACATTCAGTGTCTCTGCACAGAATTCAGCAACATAGAGAAGGTCACAGGTCTCTCCCCAAAGGAAGACAGACTCCCAGCAGTGAGATACGTCACTCCCATAGGAATATCTGCCTTGGAAAGTGTGTCTACGTGAGGGTGTGTCTTCCATGGGGAAGGGTACTTTCCCCACCCGGTCCCATCCCTCAGCCCCACTCCACAGTTAGGCCCAGGCTGGGATACAGAGGGAGGTTGTCTGACAACAAAAACACGTCCTCTCATCCTCAGGGGAACCCCAGACCTTCTGTGCATGCATAAACACACATGCACACACATGTACACACATACACATGATTACACATATCCCATATTTTGGGCACTAATACTGCTCCTCTGATAGCCGAAGTCCTACAGTAGGAGGGAGAGAACCCTGGAAACATCTGATGAGACCTCACAGAAGAGCCCTCGAGGAGAGTGTCTCATGCACGTGGGTGCACCAAGACGCACCGACAGATGGACTTCTCAGGAAATGGTTGGGGAAAAAAAACAGAAGCAAAAAAACACCCTATGAGCCGGGTGACTATCTTTGCAGACAAGTCCAAAGAAGCAAACTATAAACAAACACCTCAAATGGGGTTTTCACCGACTAAGTGCCTTGGCTGCGAGAGGAAACTAAGCAGACCCTCCCCGGCTCTGGCCCCTCTTGTCACACATTCCCGCTGTTCTGCCAAGTTTTTATGCCTCCCGATAAACCTGAAGGCCAAGCTGTGAGAGATGAATTACAAAGTGCAGCTCTCTGCTCAAGTGGCTTTTGATAAGGCCAAGCAGTCGGGAGCCAATAAAGTCACCGCTTCTGCAAATCAAATGAATCAAGTCCTAAACACACAGAAGCCTTCTCCACCACCCTGGGCAAAGAAAGGGAAATGGGCAATGAAACTACGGGAAGAGGTAATATTTTCATTCTCCCTGTACCTACTGTAACCTCCTAGAGGGTCAGGTGGGTAAGACCGTGCCATTTCTCATGAAAGGGTGTGCTGTGCAGGGAAGACACGCATGTGGCTTTGGGAAAATTCTGATTTATGAAATTTAATGTTTAAAGAGCTGGCACTTTAGTCATATTAAATATGTAACAGCCTTTCGAACATATGCAAAACCAATACGAGTTTCCCTGGTGAGTAGTCCTTTTGGAGCTGGTGTAGTGAGTGAATAGCTACAATTATCTGTAGTTAACATGCCATTGTTGGGAGGTGGAGTGCCCCTGGAATGTGCATCTCCCACATTTGTTGAGGATCGACAACGCGTAAGAAACTCTTCTGGCTTCTGGTGATTGCCCCAAATGAGGCTTGTTTTCCTAAGCAGTTCGAAGCATTCTTCCCAGTACCTCATTGATGCCATTTATTTGCTTAACAAACTTGTCTTCCAAAAGTGTACGAAGTTGGCCCAACTCTAATTTATCCCAGATGCCAAATCAGCAGGTACAAACTAATGAGGTTTGAATGTGTCAAAAGCAAAGGCAAACCCTGGGTCTTCTATTGATTGAAGCCCAGCCTCTAAATAGACAGATCCAGAGCCGGGTTGCTGAAAGAACACAGGAAGTCAGAGAATGTGGGTGTGAACCCTAGCTCTGTGTTACCTTAACCAATCACGTTTTGTTTACACCTCAGCTTCCTCATCCAGAGGGCTGGGCTGGCAGCTGTTGTGCAGGCTCGCAGTGAACATGGAAGGTTCTACATGCAAAGTGCTGGGCAGAGTGCTTGGCTCATGGGAGGGACCCACACAATTGTTTTACCCATCTGCCTAAAAATGTTTATATGATAATAGAAAGGGCCTGAGTTAAATTAAATCGTTCAAATGTGCCTGCCAGCCTTTTCACTTTTCCCTGTCTGTGCTCCAGAAAGGCGCCTAATTTAAGTTTCTGTTTCCTTATCCTCCGATGAGGGTAGTGATAACTATATCTCAAACTTAACCCATGCAGGGTGCTGGAATGCACAGTTCGACATATTCAGACCCTTTCCCCATCGCCCTCCAGGGTTCCTGGGCTGTCCTAATTTCAAGCAGAGTAAAATTATGTACAAATGTGTTCAATAAACTCAACCCACCCCAAATTATAATGCATAATTAATTATTTGTTATAGTGTAGTTTGGGCTACTTACCAATGGTTACTCTTTTGTAACATACAGTAGAGCGAAAGCAGTCCTATTTCATAGCAAAATAATTAATAAGAAGTGTCGATGGCGGGAAGAACAGTGTTGTGGGAATAGAGGAGGGGATTATTCACCAACTTAGGGAAATCACGACTTCTTTCAGTGTAAAAGCAGTTCTCTTTTGTTCAGTGTATTTTGGTGGCTTAATAGAGCGATATTTTACAGAAAAAAATGAAAGACAGAAAAAAACAATAGTAATCGGATCAGAAGCTTTCGCTGACCTCTTTCAATGCCCAGGACTCTAGATAGCACCGTGATTTAAAGAGTGTCCAACGCGTGGGCCCCATGTGCCCAGGATGGCTGTAAATGCAGCCCAACACAAAATTGTAAATTTACGTAAAACCTTATGAGATTTTTTTTGTGACTATGTGTCTCAATGTATTTAATGTGTGGCCCAAGACAACTCTTCTTCCAGTGTGGTGCAGAGTTGCCGAACGGTTGGACACCCCTGAATTATTGATCTGACAAGACAGACTCGTGGGTTCAAATCCCAGGTCAGCCACTTACTGTGGTGTGTGCCCAGGGTTCCTTTCGGCTGTGTGACCTTGGGCAAGTTGGTTAACCTGGGTGAGCCTCAGTTTCCTCATCTGTAAAAGAGAATAAGTGATGCTTACCCAAGAGGACTGTTACCAGGTTCAAATAAAATAAAGTACTTAAGACTGTGGGTGCTACACCTCACATAAAGTAAAAGTAGCCTCTATGTGTTAATAAATTACCTAGCAACAAAATTGAAAGCACCAAAGTTTATCTCCAGGCAACAGCAAGCTACTACCAACCTGCCTTAGGGGAACTAAAAATTCTCCATCAAACTTGCTTACGCGCCCCCATGCCATACGCGCGGATCTACTGCTTTCCCACCGCCCAGGGAGTCGTCATACGTCATCATCACCGCCCTCCAATCCTCTCACCCTCTTTCCTCCCAGACAAGTGCTCCCAGCTGAATTTGACAATCTGCTCTTGTTTTTAAGTAAACAAATATATCCCTTCTCAAATTGATGTATTTTTCAGCCATGTCAATTTTTCCCAGGTAGCAGGGATAAAGGGAATGTTCTTGGCTAACAAGAAGATTGACAACCAAGTGAAGACATTCATCACGTATAACAAGGGCCGAGACTGGCGTTTGCTGCAGGCGCCAGACACGGATTTGAGAGGAGATCCTGTGCACTGCTTACTGGTGAGTCTTCAGGCTGGGGCAGGGCGCCCCAAACCCCGAGCGCTGGAAAACCAGGTGTGAAAACAGGCAGACGGAAATGCTTCCAGGGCCCCCCGCTTAGTGGCTGAACAACAGGGGCCAGGGAAGGGCAGGAAAGCAGCGTATCGGAAAGTCACAGCGCCGCCTTTTGTGATGGACCAGAGACAAGAGAAAAGCAGAGTTTCTTGTTTACTTCCAAGGATGTTCAGCTGTGACCCAAATTCTGATGAGGGCCTCACATTGTAGTTGAAGGGGGACCCGAACAGGTTCCATCATGATGGGGAGATACGTCTTTCCTTTCCTATGAGTAACCTGTTACAGATCAGATGACACATACATCCAGCTGTAGAGCTGGTGACCTGAATGTGCCATTGTGTAGTTGGGTTTTCTAAAGGAGACGTTTATCCGTATTTTCAGAGGACCTCGTGCCTCAAAGAAGGGCAAGAACCACTGATTGAAACTTTGGTTGGTACTCTTTACGGTATGTTTTATTCATATGTCACATCATATAAAGCTGGTGTGGGTAAACAGTGGCCTGTGGAGCAACAACGGCCCGCCACTTGTTTTTCTAACTAAAACTTTATTGCAAAACAGTCATTCTTATTCATTTGTATGTTGTCTATGGCTCCTTTGGCTGAACTAAGTAGTCACGTCAGGGACCATATGGTCCACCAAGCCTATGATATTTATTATCTGGCCCTTCTAAAAAATGTTTGTTGACCCCTGCGTTGAAGTACAGCCCTCTTTTAATTATCTGACATCTGGGGAATAAGTACATCAGCGTGAACTTATTTATATATTCAATTATATGTTTGTGTCTGAGAGAGGGTTTAAAAATGGGTTTTGTGTTCAAGGAGTTTACAGTGCACTTGAAAGAGATTAGATTAATAAATGAAAGATTATAGGGTTACATCTTATTCCTCCCAGTGGTTCTGGTATCTGCCCTATACTTCACACATGGATGGATACAGAGTGAATGAAGAGAAGGGGAGGAAGAGATTTAATTGCAAAGCAAAGTATAATTAAATGCTCATTTCTTTACAACAATTCAGCAGGTGTATTTACATTCGCAAAAGGGATAGGAGAGTATGGTAAGATGGAAGAAAGACCTTTTTGTTTTAGGAAGGGCTTGGGGTGTGTGTGTCTGTACCAGGATTCACAGTCATCATCAAATCCTGACTTGAATATTTTCCACACTCAGCTTGCTTGCTGCTGTCCCGTGAAGTCTGAACAGTCACTTTGCAGGTTCATCTCAAACAGCTCTAAGCGGGTCACCCTCCTACCCGAGAAGATGCCAGCAGCCATAGCTTGACCTTATTAGTTGCAGAGGATATCACAGTTGTCACTGTGCATCAGGGAAACTGTCTGCAATTCAGCCTCCCACTCAGCTTCTGTCCTTATTACTGGCAGCTCACGGGGGAAAGCCGGTTGTTGGAGTGAGTGCGCAAAGCCAATGACAGAGAAGCAAATGTACGTTATTACTGAATACCTTCTGTATGCAAGGCATACTTCAGTAGCATTTTTTTAAAAAAAACACAGCCACCTTCCTAGTTGATCTATTTCAAGTTGGAGCACACCATGATATTTTTCCCAAGGTGCACGGCATGCACCATTGCCTTAGTATGGTCCCCCATCCTTTTGTGCGCTTTGGAGATTAAATGTCAGTGGGAGAATTAGTCATATCCTATAAAGAGACTTTCCTGAGTTCTTGGCACCATAAATAAGCTATTTGAAATGCCTCTTACACAGAGCACTTAGCGAGGCTTTCCCTGCTCCAACACCAGCCCAGTGGTAGGAGGTCTTAGTGCCGTGCCTCCAAAATCTAAACGCTGGGACCACCCTAATACGAGCCACCACCATTTCTCACTTTCCCTGCAGTGACAGGCTCTTAACTGCTCCTCCTGTCCCGACCTGGCAGTGTCTTCTCCGCACAGCAGCCAGTGCGACCTGTGTTTTGTTTAAATCCACCTTTATTGAGGTAAAACATACAAACATAAAAAGTGCCATTTCAACAGTGTAGTTTGATGAACCTTGACAAATGTCTATACCTGTGTAACCACTACCGCAGTCAAAATACAAATTTTCATCATGTCCAAAATTTCCTCCGTTCTACTTTGCAATCACTATCCAAAGCTCTGGCCCTAGACAATACTAACTTGCTTCTCTTTATTATCCAGTTCCTTTATCTAAAACTTTGCATGAATGGCATCAACTTGAGCTTGAAAAATTCAGATCATGCCTCTCTTTTACTTAAACCTTCTAATGACTAATTCAGGTCAAATAAACTCCAAATGCTCTCCCACAGTCTGCAAGGTCCCATGTGGTCAGGTCTCTGTGTACTTCTTCTGCCTGGACTTCAACCTCTCACCCCTTCCTTGCATGTAAACCACAGTGGGGGAGGATGGTGTTTGCATACCATTAACTTACCTTGCTCACTTCTGTCTTGGGCTCTTTGCATTTCACAAGAATGCCCCTTTCCCAGTCTGTCTGCTTCTTAAAATTCAGATCCTTGACCACTTACCTTCATTCAAAGAGCTCACTGGAACTGTTTCTGAAGTTGTACTGGTCCCAGCTCCTTTTTATTCGTGACCCTTTTCATCCTTTGAAATCAGCCCATGCGTTTGTCCATGTTCCCTACTAACCTAACACGGGAGCTTCCTAGGCAGAGCAACTGTGGCTACCTTCGTGGCCACTGCAAACAATCAGCTCAAGAATCGTACCTGTCACAATGAAGCTACTCAACACAGGTGTTGTCGTCGAGGGTGTTCTGTTCATTTGAAGCAGGTACTCCAAGGACAGGTGTTGTTTGAGTTTTGCATTTGGACTTCAGTGGAAGCCTCTCCTTGCCACTGACAGTCATACTGAAGGATTTGTCATAACTGCCACCTCCCGAAGCACCTGGGCTCAAGTGGACCCTAAAGTCAACAATATCAGTAAGCTCATTAAGATAAAGGTGCATTAACAGGATGTGGATGTACAATACCTGGGAGTCTTTGGGCCTCCCTCCCTCATTAACCCTATTGTTTAATGTGGTTCCCATCTGAGTTTTACAAAACAGAGAGCAGGGTGAGGAGGGAAAATGACAAAGGGAGTGAGGAGGAGAGTCCAAAATCACTTTATAAAAATCTGCCAAAGGAACAAAATAAGAAAGAAAATCTTTGAGCTGTGGGAGACCCAGACTGTTAAAAATCTTCTCTCAGCTCGGGAGCTGGTGGCAGAGAGGAGATAAAAGTGATTTTAAATGGTGAGCGCTTGGAAAGTGACAGTGTCACCAAAAGCACAGCCTCGTGATTAGAAAAGAGATTTTCCAGCAGGGCTGTTACAAATGTGGGACAAGTTCAGAATTACGGGCCCAAAAGGGATGTTCCTGGTAAAATGTATTCTGTAGAAATAAGACATCCAGGCTAATTTGGGGCTGTATTTTTAGGACTTTTAGACTGATTGCCTGGAGGGCTCAACTGGGATTCCTTTCCTCTGAAGACAGTATTGTACAATTAGATGGGGCATTACAGGTCCCAGTCCGCCTGCCTCCAGAGCCTTAGGTTTGGGCTGTCGAGAGGCAAGATGTGAGCTGAGCCTGTGACAAATCTAGGGAAGTGCAGTGTTTCATGGAGAGAGGCTGTGATTTCTTTATGAATTCAGTTGGCCATTTTTGGTTGGGGCTAAGCAGCCAGTTACTACAGGAGATTCTTGACTCTGTTTTCTGCTCCTTTGCTCACTTGACTGTGCCTGCTGTGCCGGATTGGAGTGGGGCTGAATGCCCCTGCCCAGCCGGTCAGTCCAGGGGCCGCCCTCTGCTTTGCCACTGACCCTTTACTGAAGATCCATGGATTCAGAGCTGCAGCTCGGGGTCAGACACAACAAGTGTAGGGGGTTGGATTAGGGGGCTATTATTTGTGAGTTTACCTGTTGCGCGTGGGTCACCGGCCAGCAGTGACCATGGAACGCTGTGGATGGCTCGACAATACTCGAGAAAAAACACACATGCACAGAGACAGACTAGTTTCTGTGGGGAAGTAGGGACAGAATGGCCACCCCCCCTAGTGGGGAGTGCGCTGATTTACCGTCCATACCTGCTTTTATTAGGCTCATTTTGCATAGTAATTCAGGTAAAGTACAGTACTCATTAGGGGAAGTAAGGAACCATAGAAAACAAAGAATTCTGCCGGTCTATTGAGTTGGGGGTCAAAGAGCTGTAAGACTGAGGAACAAATTAACTTCCTCCTAAGACCCTTCTCATTCAACTGAGAGCATTCTAAACAAAGAAGGTTTCACAGTAATTTACATATTCTTTCTTAGGCCTGATCACCCCGGGAAATCCGCACTTCTCAGTACCGAGCTGCACCACCCTGTCATTGTTTTAGGCTTAGGTGGAGCAAGGGAACTAGGTAACCAAGAGATAAGGAGATTTTCTCCCAGACGCTGAGAACTCAAGCTATGTCAAAGCCGAGGAGCGAGGGTCCATCACCCCCTTTTGCTGCAGCCCCTCAAGTCCTTCTTTTGGGGGGCCTCCCAAAGTGATTGTGCCTGGCTTAGGTCGTTCCCCCCGTGGGGAATCTTACCCGTCTTTGGCTAACCGACCAAGCTTTTGGGGGTTCAGTTATGAATAAAGCAGCAGAAGCAGCATTCCTGCCAGGAAGACAAGCTTTTGTCTCCTTGCTGGCTTACAGTTCCAAGGGCGTTCCCTTAGCTTTAGCTAGGTGGGGGTTTCAGCCTCTGATACCAGTCAGGGCGGTTCCCAACATTTACCTGCTGCTTTATTATTTATGAAACCTCTGATCTGTCTTTGTAGGACAATACTCAGGATTGGGATTCCTGTGTATAATGGTACCATGAAGATGAGAGCTAAATGCTATTAATACAGAGGTTAGGGGGAAAGAGGAAGTGAAATGAGAAGTTGGTTGACCCTCAAGCAATCTAACAGTTTTTTAGTTCATTTATTCCAAGGTAGAGAAACGTCTTCTATCTTTTAGTAATTCTCTATTGGCCATTCACAGTGCTGGGAACACAGTGGCTTGTAAATGGATCGATAAAACGGAATGCTTTCAGTGGCCAAAGGATTTTGTTAGTTAAAATAATAAATAAAAGAATAAGGCAAAAGAAAGGGCATTGGGACCTAGAAGTCCCCCACGGACTGCAGGAATCTGTGTGCTCCCTGAAACTGAATACGGAACTCTGCGTGCGCTTTGCCCGCGGGCACTTTTTCTAGGTAGAGTCCTTCATTTGCATCTGGTCCGCAAACTCTGTGTCTGACCCTGAAAAGACTAAAGACTAAGGATGTAGTTGCTTCTCGAATTGACCAATGGAACAATACTCCATCCCTTGTGACTGTGTAAGGACATGTAAAGGGCAGCTTCCAGACATGCATGCTGGTCCCTCCTAGGTCATGGTGGTTCCAGTGTACAGTGCTGTATTTTCCAACGGTGGAGAAACTAGAAAAGTAGAGAAGCGCCTTTGGGACAAGCAGTATTTTGACTGTACTGAATTGGAGACAACTCCAGAAAGATACTCACATAGTCGGTACATGATTGGTAGTGGAAGGAAAAAGGATGCAAAAAAAAGGATCTCTCTTTTTTTTCTTTTTTTATATAAAGTTTATTTTTTATTGTCCCCCCCCCATTACCATTTAATCCCCCTTATGTCCCCTTCCACCTCACTCACCTTAGATTAAAGACCCACTGGGTCCCCTGACAGGGTCAGCCCTGAACCTTCGGGAGCTGCCTGACCCCACCCCCCTCACAGAAGTCCCCCAGCTGGTCACTGCTCCCTGATTGGGCAGGACAAATGTGGATTCCAGTGTTAACCACCCAGCAGTCCCCACAAGCCTCTCATGGGTGGGAGCAAGCGAGAGGCCGTCCTGGTCAGGACGCAGCTGAGGGCTCGGTGCAGACTGGGGTGGAAAGCAGACAGGAAAGAAGTGGACAGAGTGCCCTCTTCCTGGGCAAAAAAATAAAGAAGAATTGCAAAGCTTCTGTTCTGTCCTTCAGGATTGTGCTGTGGCTTGACTGCTGTTATAATAAACCTCTGGATTAAGTTTTGGTGACTGAATTTTGACAAATGTTTAAAACTGGGCAGGTACAAAAGTTTAAGTGGAAAAAAGTGAAAATGAATCACTTAACATTGTTCTTCATCGAACATTGATGTAGATAGATTATATAACTTCCTTGAAAAAAATGTAAAGCCACAGAATATTCTCCTTGTACCAGCTGGGGGCAATCCAGTACTATGAATGTGAGCGTGGAGGAAAAAATGTACCAAAAAGATCATTTCTAATGTTCCCGCTATTGCATGAGCTGGTGTCTTTTCTTCTCAGATGAACTTATCTTGGGCTTTGAAAGCCATAGCAACTGAGCAGTGCTGAGACAGTCAGTTGGAAATGCCCTCTTTCCTTTGTAATGGCATGTTCCCATATCGAATAATCCTTGGGTCAGGTGGTGACAGTTTCACAGTCTTCCAGACTGTTGAGAGGTGAAGTCTGCAGCACGTAGCAGTTCAAAATTGCAAGCTGGGTTGCTCCCTTGTCCAAGGATGCCCTGCCCCGTTGGGTGGTACAAAGGTCCTCCATTCAACCCGTATGTCTACACATAATTCCCAAGGAGTAATGCAATTCCAGTGCCATAGAGATACTCACATTACTCTGTGGTTTACAAATAAGCCCCTGCACTGCGGGCATTGTTCTGAGTGAAACAGCCATGTCTTTCATTTCCTAGCATGAAAGCATTGCTTGTTATTTCAAACTTTTATTGGCCGTCTTTTTTGATTCTAGGCTAAGTTCTACAGAAGATGCAAAGTAGTACTTGACATTTTCTCTTTATTTGTAGAGCACCTCTTTTAGGGGATAGAACCAGACATACCTTGGATAGATGATCCTGGATTGCGTGTAGTAAAATAAGCTGTTGTAGATCAGAAAAGGGGAGGTCCCGATCAGATGCAGCTGTCAGGAAGATTTCCATGGAAAAATGGTGTGACTCCCCTGCTTTGTCCTGCCCCAGCCTCTGAGAACCGTGCAGGGCTGCCCTGGGGCCTCTCCAGCACAGCATGCCTGTTCTGGCCTTCTTCTTGGGTAAAAGGAAGCTGAGTGTTTGGGTCAGTTTCTTCTTATAGAAGGCAGCCTTCTTTACCCTTTTGGAACATTATAAAGTAAAAACTCCTTTTTTGAAAGCTTTACACGAAATGTTCACGTAAAAGCAATAATATATTGCTATCGTTATTTCTTGAGAGTCTGCTCTCTCTGGTGGCAGTGAGGAAAAGACCCTATTGTGATCCACTGCTTTATTTCACCAGTATTTTGGCTGCTTTTATTCTTCGGTTTCATTTTTAGTTTGTCATTTTACTCTATCTTATATAAATTTAATCACTGCATCTCTGGCTCTCTGAATATCTGTTGGTTGAAACTTACAGAGCAGACTAAAAGTAATAACAGAGATACATTGGTGATTCCAAAAACTCAAGTCGATAAGATTAGAAAGCAATCTTCCTGAGCAGTGAAAAGAAATGTGGGTTCAGACACAAATGTGTAGTTTTTGACAACTCAGTACAAGAACTATTTTAAATGGAACTCATATAAAATTCATCGTGTTTTTGAAAACTGTTGAGATAGTAATCAGAAAATTTGATCAAGGTTTCACACACAAATAAACAAGTCCCTTAAATTTTTGTTGAAATTGCTATTACATTTTGCCTACAGGTATGACTTTTCTATTGAATAATACTGATTCTGGTAATAACCTGACACAAACATTGTCCATGATTGGGTGGATGTTTGGACATTTTCACATGTCATACAGCTTCTTCTGGACAACTGAGACCAATGTCTCAAATGGAAAGGGGCAAAGAGAAGCCGGCTGACTTCTTCGAAGCTCCCCAGCCTCACCAACCCTTCTTTCCTGACTTCCTGTCCCAGTTTTCTCCTCCTTAGCCTTTTTGACTACATACTGTATCACAACTCAACTCTTCCACTTTTTGTCTTTGTTGTTTGTATTGCTCGGGCCTGAAATGTCCTTTACCCTCCTTAGTATCTCATCCACAGTTCCTAACCTATCCCTCTTTGCCTGAGGCACCGTTTTCTCCTTGAAGTCTTCCCTGATCCAAAATTGGACATCATCCGGTCACCCTCTAGAATCTCATATTTTGCCCATACTGATCTTATGGCTGTTAAAATATTTCTCTGTATGTTAATCATTAGAAAGATCTTAAATTCTGACACTCTCCATGAGAGTCAAACCAAATTTGAGTGGATGGAACTCTTTAATAAGCTACACCTACTCTTCTGCAGATAAAGTTGCTAACGTGTTTGGTGAGTGCCCGAATACAACTCAGGCAGTCAGCTAGACTGACAATGAACATGCCCTCCTTCGCCAGCTTGGCAGCTGTCTTGTGCTGAGTTTACACCAGACCAGATATCTGTGACATGAAAGATGGGTGAATGGAAGGGTCCATGAAGGCAAGGATAGATGGGATTGTTCGATGATTGGATAGATGCTCGGAACATGAAATTGAAATGACTATCATCTAGATTGCGTGCTTTCATGACACTCATTTTTCCTCTTCTCAGCCATATTGCTCACTACACCTTCACCTGAAGGTCTCTGAGAACCCCTACACATCAGGGATCATTGCCAGCCGAGATACAGCCCCCAGCATCATAGTGGCATCAGGTAAGCTAGATACCTCTGCTTGGAACTCAACAAGCAACCTAAAGACATTTTAGAATGGCACTGAAACCACTGACCCTGAAGCAAGTATGCTGAAAAACTCTGCTCAGCTATGTCTGCAATCTAAAACAATCTCAAGTAATGCCAACTGCCGATAGAGCTTGTGGTGAGCTTCTGCGGAAGGCTCCTTTCACTAATGGTGATGTGCTCTTTCTAGGGAACATAGGTTCTGAATTGTCCGACAGCGACATCAGCATGTTTGTCTCTTCAGACGCAGGGAACACTTGGAGGCAGGTAAGAAGGTTTTCCGGATCAAGTTGCTAAAGTTTAAAATGACATTAAAATTGCCCAAATGGATTCAATTCTGGGAACTTATTCTACTATACATAATCACTTATTCAACTACATATAAATCCTAAAGCTTGCCAATGCATGTATCTTGCTTTAAATAAGTCTTTGGGGTTAGCAAATCTTTTTGCAATTTGATTTTTTTTCTGCCATTCAATAAAAATGAACCACATTCAGAGCCTATATGCAATACAGTTTATAAGTGACAATGAAACCGAAATAGATCTGACTGAATTTTTACCATAAAAGAAAAACAGAATCCTGAAGAGCTTATCACATAGGGAACATGGTGCCTGAGGGGTAGATTCTATACCTAATGCTGAGTTATCTCCATAAATTCCTCTTGCCTTCAAGTCAGAGTAGAGAGCAATGCAGTGATGTAGAAATAGCCATTACCCAGGTGGTGTTCTGAGATGTTTAAATCTCATGTGCAAAAGACAGAGTAATAACCATCACGGTGCATATGCTAGGGAAAGGAGAAATGGAATCACTTTAAATGAATGTGTTTAGCTTAAATGCTTCCTCTCTTTTTTCTGAATGGAAATTAGATACCCATAGCTTATAAAACAGGCATTTAATGAGGTTTAGCAATCATAACACGATGTGTGCCTAATGCATGGTTGTTACCCTTCAGTAAATATGTTTTAATAACCTACTGACATTTAATTATCATACAATAACTTCCACGTAAATTGAAATCTAATGTGCAGGTAATCACCCAGCAATGAGAATACTCTGCGATACATTTTAGACAGAGATCTCCGTGCTCTGGTCCAATTGCCATTGCCTAATCCCAGACCCCCTGTAAATCCTCAGCAGGATGCATGTGTGTTGAGAAGGACAGGGCAAGGAAGAAATTCACCAAAAAGCCTCAAGGCTGTTGATCTCAGAGGTATTTAAGAACATGGACTATCAAGCTTCCTCTGGAGAATAGTTACAGAGCCAGAATCCTATTTTTTTTCCTTCCAACACCCCAAACAAAGCAAAAGAAGTCTCTGTTTCTATAGTCCTAGGATAGGACATATCTCAAGTATAAGAAGTAAACAAAGGGAAAAGGCACTGCACAGGTCTGTAGTGTAACCACAGACGAGGCCGCACTAACAGTGTGACCGTGAGAAAGCAGTGTGCACTATGTAGAGGACTTAGAAATTGTTTCCGTCCTGTCTCCATTTAACTTCTTGTCATTTCTCCACATTTGGAGAAAGACCCAATGATACATGTACCCAAGGATGATGGTTCCACTTTGATCAGAGCTTCTTTATGACTTGGTAGAGAATATTTTCATTGAACAAGAACACCCTTTTCTAGAGGACTTGGGAATTTTGAAATCACTGGAGCTGGAAGGGTCGCTGTGCCCTGCAAGCCCCCGCTCCCTCAGTCACTACGTACCTGGCCTTAGGCAAGTCTCCACATCTCTCTACACTTTAGTGGTCTCCTCTGTAACCGTGAGAATGTGAGAATAAAGTATGTGTAAGGTTTCTTCCATCTTCAAATGTTACCCAGTATGACAGTTATCCAGTATTCCGACATCATTATAAATGGGAATCAATAGAACATGCCACAAAAAGACAGGATGCAAACATAAATACATACCTATGAATTCTTTACATTTGGATTGTGGTGCACTGAAAATTTTCTGTGACTCCAGTGGTACCCGTAGCCCACCTTGGGAAGCATTGCTCATAACTCTGTCTTCCCAAGGATTTGGGGAAACCTCATTCAGTCACGGGAGGGATTTTTTTCTCCCCATCTGAAGACGGATTCTTTGAACTCTGGGTGTGCGGGGCCGTGGATGTGTGCCCATTGGGTGTTGTTTCCGTTTCCAGATCTTTGAAGAAGAGCACAGTGTGCTGTATCTGGATCAAGGCGGAGTCCTGGTTGCTATGAAGCACACATCTCTCCCGATCCGGCATCTCTGGTAAAGGCGCCTGTTGCCCACGAGTCATGCACCTGGTGCTTCCTCACTGCTAAGACTAGCAGTCAGGCTATCAGATTGTGACCACATTTGCTGTAAAGTGTCAAGGTCTACTAGAACATCATTTATACCTTTGCTCTATTAAAATTAGATTGTTACCTACAGGAGGAGGAAAGGGGATCGTGAGAGAGGTAAGGAGGGAGAGAGGGATGGACGGGAAGGGAGAGAGAATGAGAATAAGTTCTGCCCCTGAAAGAGGAATCGCATTATAGTTTTTAAACGTGATGATGCCTGCTCCTTCTTTCAGAACCATCCTGGGTAGAATGGTATAATCCCTGAGTGACTTAACTTCTTCCAGTCAACTTTCCCAAATAACAACCTCTGGAGTGTATGTGTTCTGCACAGAGATCACGACACTTCTGTTCCTGATCGTACTTCCTTAGTTTCCTGCTTGGGGGCGCCATTCAGCAACTCTGCCTGCCAGTCTTCCACAGATGGACAGACATGCAAGGCCTAGCTTCCAGAGGGGTTTCTGATAGACTCCCTTCATGTGTGTTTTTGAAAATTACTCTCTGCACATGCAAGCTTCCTCGAAGTCAAAAGCTTGCCTTTCCCTCCACTGTTAGTTACTTCGGTGCCCAGAAGGAAAGCTGCAGAAATAAGAGAAACAGAGGCTTAGCCTGGAGAAATGCATCCCCAGAGAAGGGTGGAGCAGAGGAAACATCCCCTGTGACCCTCAGAGTGGCAGGCTTCTCTCTTCCTGAGCTCTAGAGTCTGTCCTTCTGTCCCCATTCCTTCAGTCAGTGAGTCAACCAGGATTTATAGAAGTGTAAGTGGGATCCTGCTAAGTCTCTAATCACTTGGAGGTGGCTAGGTCAAGTCCATCTAAGTAGGTCCCCTGAAGTCCCTGCTCTCCAGAATCACCTGCAAGTCTTGCTGCTAGAGTGCGATTTTGGAGAGAGTCACACTGAGATCTAAGATCTAATAAAACATCAAAATTTCAAAACAAATTCTGTTAAAGGCTCATTATTATTCTTGTTTCATGCAGCTTTCCCCTTGTCAATGTTATAACACCCCTGGGTCCCAAACTGCCTGGCTAACTGTATTTCTATCTTCTGATGAAATTAAGAACATTTATTCAAGGCTTATTTTGACAGTGCCTTAGGTACTTTTAAAATGTATGCTCTCCTGCTTGATGGTATCTTTCCTTTGAAAGGATTATTTTTTCCTTCTGTGATCTGATGACTGTTATTTTTTTTCTGTCATTAGGTTGAGTTTTGATGAAGGGAGATCTTGGAGCAAATACAGTTTCACATCTATCCCACTTTTTGTGGATGGGGTTCTGGGTGAGCCTGGGGAAGAGACTCTAATCATGACGTAAGTGGAAATCAATGATGCCTTCTAGTGTTGTTATTCATCCAGAAACATGTTTTGTGGCTAAGTTTGCGCACTACTGTTCGGTTTGGAGTTTCCAGCCAAACCAGTACATCTGATTGCACGATTCCCCAGCAAAGTGGAAAGAAAAATGTCCGTAGCCATTTTTCTCAGCTTCTTTCTTCCTCTCCTGAATGGCCGGGGGAAATTAGAAGAGATCATTTCGATAGAAAATAAAGCTATACATTTAAAACTTTAATGAGAAACCAGCTCGACAGGTAGAAAATCGCAGGCGTGTAAGAGCGGTTTCACTTTAAGGCAGAAGGCAAAGGCTTGTGCAAAACCCCACACAGGCTCCCGCGTTTCCCTGGCTCCTTCCCTAACCCAATTGTGAGGCAAATTAGGGAAACCCTGAGAACAATCTGTTCTTGTGAAATTGCATTTGCTCTCATTCTTGTCTGGAAAGAGATGATCATTAATTTGTGGGCGACTTGATTAATGACTTGCCTGCCTATGGGGTTCCAAACATCGGCTCCGAATGCAGAATATGAAATTGCACTTTTTCCTTCCCCTAGAAAATTAGACATGGAAGACGGAGGGAAGGTATTAAAGCAGTTGATCCTGTCATCCATGGAAATGTAACAATCAAAGCGAATAGTTGTCTTCCCTCCTGTTTGTTTGTTTTTTTAATGATAGAAAAGATCAACAAATGTTCAGGATGCCTAATAGCTGCACTTTAGGCCATGGTAGGCATAGCTAGATCAGCCATTTATTTCATAATTTGTCTGCATGTAATTTTTATATTTACAAAACACAGGTAAAAAAGCTGACTGATGAGGCTGCTTTGTGGTTTTTATCCTGACCTGCAGTTAGTGATTCAGACACCCCATCAGATGTCTGAGTCTTTTTCAGTGAGGAGAGCAGGATGCGCAGTGCAGGAAACAGTCGTGACCACTTGGCCCCGCTGCCCACTCTCCCTAGTGACTGCTGGGGAAATAAAATAGCGTGGAAACCATGGAAACCATGGAAACCATGCACATTAGCTAGAGAACCTAGAAGTATAATATCGGACCATGCAGAATGCTGTATTTGTGATTGTTTTCTCTATTACTGATTGATTGATTTTTTTTGTTAACCATTCATGGGTATAATACATAGAAGTAGTCTTTTAAGTCAAATACCCTGGGTTCTGACTCTACCCGATCTTTAGTGATCTGACATTGGTTTTGCAATTAACAGAATTCTTGGACCCTCAAGTTGCCCGTATGTAATGTGGAGCCAGTAACAGGAACCCTCTTCAGAAATGTGTTTTGAGGATTAAATATGATCAATGCATTAGTGTGCTTAGCATTATGCTAAGCGTATAGTAAAACCTCAGCAAGGGCTAGCTGCTGTCATAACTGCTGGCATTGTTATTATTGCGATTATTTTTATCCTTATGAACTCTGTAGAGTGTTCGGACACTTCAGCCACCGCTCTGAATGGCAGCTGGTGAAAGTGGACTACAAGTCCATTTTCGATAGGCGGTGTGCGGAGGAGGACTACAGACCTTGGCAGCTGCACAGCCAGGTAGGAGGAAGAGCGCGGGGGCTGAGTGCTGAGCGAGAGGCACGGGGCGTGTCGGGGGGGAGCGAGTCATGCGAGTGTAGGGATCGGGGCTCTCTAAGCCCCTCTAGGGCTCATCTAGTGTTCTGTGTTCCACAGCAGTGAACAAACTCTACATTTTACAGCTTCTTGTGAAGTAATTTCTGTTTTTATTGTACTAAGATATAATGAGATAAAACTCAAATGTGCTTGGCTTAGACGAACAACTAAAATGAAATAGCAACTCAGCACGGGGATCTAAACATAATTTATCTGAGCACGTCTTGTGGAGGCAGAGCGGAGGCAGGGGTGAGCAAAGGACCCGGCAATGCAAACAGAGCCGTAAAACAACAAAACAAGGCCCTGTGAGCAGTGCTAAGAATGCCCTCTCTCCCCGCTGCTGTGACTGCCTGGGATTAAGTAGTGCTTCTCACCTCTTCCGAGATACTCGAGATACTCATACTCGTGGTACGAGAATGCAGAGTTATCAATAGGAAACTTCCCTTCCCCCTGACCCCTCAGCTCTTCAGCTCATGACCAGATGCTTGTGTGAAAGCCCCTCTCCTCAGGTTTCCCCAAGCCAGAAGCCATCCATCCTGCAGGTCTCTCAAATTATGTGGCGGAGGCTCTGGCTGCCAAGCCGTCACTGTATTCAGGCAGCAGCACACCATTTGTCCCAAATCTAGCCTTGAGTGAAATATATGCATGCAGATGTGGGATGGAGCTGCTGAAAGTGAGCTTGCTCAAGAAACACAGGTTATGGTCTTAGACGAAATTCTGTTCTGACATGTAAAGAAAGCTACATTTGACAGTGTCGGCTGCATCAGCTGAATCACTCGCTCTAGTCAGAGACTCAGTAAATTACCACGCATTTGCATGGCTGATATTTTCCCCTTTGGGAGACAGAAGCATTGTGATATTCAAAGCTTTTATTTATTTTGCAGAGAAACACTGAATTTAGTTATCTTGCTTGTCTAGATGGATATAAAATTAGTGTATTAAGTTGTGTGGGCAGAAACATCATAAATTGGGGTGAAATGGATCTTTATATTTCTTAGCGATGCTCTTCTTCCATATGCTCATAAATGACCAAGTGTCTGAATCTTCTCATAGAAGATTAGAGAATTCACTTAGGAGGATGGAACTTAATTATCACAGATTTGTTGGCAATGCACATGTTGTAGGGCTGAGTCTTAATTATCCATGTGTCCCTCACAGCCCTGTGCCTAACACCTTGCCAAGGAAAGCTTTGCTGGACCCCTGGGGAGTTAAGGACATGTTTAGACACACCCTCAGTGCTTCTTCCGATTGACTTATGAGTCACACTGTATGCTAGGTCCGTAGATGTGGCAAACCGAAAGCTGTCAGCATGGAAATCACCAAAGTCCAGATTGCACTAGGGTTTGGGGACATCTCCCTGGACTGCCTGATGGTGGAGCAACGAAGCTCCCACTGTTGTACCCAAGTGCATGAGCTTCTTGTCTCTTTCCAGGGGGAAGCATGCATCATGGGAGCAAAAAGGATATACAAGAAGCGAAAATCAGAGCGGAAATGTATGCAAGGAAAGTATGCAGGAGCCATGGAATCGGAGCCCTGTGTCTGCACAGAGGCCGACTTTGACTGGTGAGCATGTCCCTCCTCCCACGGAGTCCTTCAGTGTACCAGGCCCATGGGGGCCTTAACAAAAGCTGAGATTTGAAATAATAGTGACAAACATAGGGCCAAGTGGCCAGACATGTATTGGAGACATCATGGCGTACTTGTGCACCACATGGAAAAAACGGGAGTTTCTTTAGGCTGAAAGAGGATTTAGAAAGTGGTTGGTAATTATCTTCATCTATGTGGTAGATGTCCGGACAGGAAGGGAGACCAGGTCCACCCTGAGTTGCTGCAGATGGCAACAGTGAAAACTATATGTGGACTTTTCAGAGAGCAAACATATTTGTGCTCAAGGTTAAACTTTCTAGAATCTTTGGTTCCTAGGTGTGGAGCAGTGGCTTTCTTAGTCAGTAAATTTTCTATCTTTTGAAGTTTCTGATCAGGGGTTAGCTGACTATTGCTTCTGGGAGCTGTGGAAGGTATTTCTGAATTTGATGTAAGGAAGGATTCGGTGGCCTTGCCAGTCTATGGCTCTGTGATCCCCGTGTTAAAGAAGGCGCCCCCATTTACCTGAAGTGGGCTAGTTTAACTGGAAAAGTACTGAGGTGTTTGGATGTTAAGTAAACTCAGAATGCCATTGAGAGTTTCCTGGGCATTTGGTAAGTGGAAAGCTAACTTGTGGGGCCAGTGAGGCCCTTGCTTTGGTCTAGGTCAGTGTTCAGGATTCAGGTGAGGTTGAAAAATAACTGAGGATGGGAATTCCCTTGATCATATCTGTTTCATTTTCTGCTCCCTTTTGCCCCTCATATTTTTTCTTTTATAGTTCTTTATATGTTTTTAGTTTAGAGAATGCAGTTGCTAAATATATAGGTCAGGGTTCAATGATTGAAACCTACCTGCATGAACAGCAAAGTCCTTCCTTTAACAATTTATTTTGAGCTGTGTAGCAATCACTGGTCACATCTCTGATTATCAGTGATCATCAGATTATCAATGATTGGGCTGATGCACACACACATCACATATCTTAGAAAAAGTACATCTTCTCTCATGAGACACCTCTGAAGGTGTTGACTGAACAAGTAGTACTGGGCAGGCCTTGCAACACTGACCGTCAGCACGCAGACGGATAACCCAGGGCCATCCCCGTCTTGCTGGCAGACAGGTTGTCAAGAGCCAGTGCTGGACCTCCGGGCTCAGCCGGAGGGCAGCAGGGCTTATTACCTTGGAGCTCACAAGGGATTCTGCAGGAGCTCCCCAGCCATGATGCATGTTTTACTTAGTGCAACATTATTACACTGACAACAATACTTTATCCCTATCCTACCTTGTAGGACTGACACTCTGAAATACATTTACAAGGAAAATGTCCCTGGATTTTTAACTCATCCATCACATCCCTCTTTTTGAAGCTGGAATGTTTCTCCTTCCTCCACTGCATTCAAGGAGAGTTTGTAAAGGAGGTTAACATTTTATCTTTGTGATTTAACTGTTAGCTTACCAAACCGTCGTTCTTGGGCCGAGAGCAAATGTATCCTCTCATAGAAAACCAGGGCGAAAAAGTGAGGTGAGATGTTCCAATTCCCTGATTTCACCTGGAAATATTTCTTCCTTTGGGAATCTTTTTCTGTGCGGTTCCAAAATAAGCTAGGCTTTTGTCATTGCTTTTGTTTTTCTTTTTCAATTTTAAGCGACTTTAGAGTGGAAGGAACACAGGGTGAGAAAAGCAGTAAGGTTTCTCCTCTCCCTCACTTCTCACACCCCTCATTCTTGGCCCAGTTCTTGTATCCACTGGAGACTGGAACCTGCTGCTCTTACCATTAACTGGAATGTATTCTGAGAAATGGGAAATGAATTGTGAATGAGGCTATTGTATGCTTTTCTGCCTCAAGGGGATTTTTGCAACTGCATAATTTCTGAAAATATTTTGGGAGGCTTACCATGACCTCTTCGAGCTTCAACCAGTAGCTAGAGCTTCCTTGATTTTACTTGACTGTAGTATAGTGAAAGGTGGTTGTCACTGAATGTTCCCTCTTGCCTTGACTGTCCCTTGGACAATCCCCGAGGTGACCTTACCTGTCATTCTCCAACATGTGTAAAGTAATTCTGTGAAATGAACACTGGGGGTCCTGTAGGCATCAATTCTGAAGTCTTCCTGCCCATGCTGTGTTGAACCAGCACCAAATCCAGCTCGTATGTGCAGAATTTGAAGTACCAGCTGCCTGGTGACAGGCACCTTAGCTGAGCCTATCTCTGCCTTCTGGACCCTCGAGTGCCAGAATCTCACCTCCAACACACAGATGGGCCAATGCATCCTATTGTTTGCTGATCACTGCCTGCAATTTGTGCATGCCGAGGTGCAATTCGTTGTCATCCTCTGCGCCCACGTTCATCTTCCAAAAGCCTAGAAGGACAGGCTACTGGGAGGTCCCTGGAGGCAAGAATGAGAGGAGGCTAAGAGAAAAGGCTTTGACTCTCTCCAAACTAGAGAGGAGCTTTAAAGTGCTCAGTCCTGACTTGAAGTGCTAACTGACGAGGACAGAATGTTTCCTGGGGGGAATGCTCACGACACCCCTGAAGGACATCTCCTTTCCCGCTGTGACTTTGAAGCATATGGCTTGTGCACAGACAGACCGGGCTCAGCTGTACATGGTCGATCCAGATGTCTTGGAAGAGCACCCCAAAGACATCAGCAGTAATGAGGATCATGCCACATGTCTGCTAAACACTTCAGTGAAACTTCACACTGGAAGTTGAGCTTCCACCATTGCCTGTGTACTAATTATGTATCTTTCTCTGGACCAACCACAGTCAGTGCTGTGTATCCTCCTAATGAGAGCATAATCTATTCTCTCGGCTTCAGGATGTTTACTTGGAATAATTGGACATTGAGCCTTCCTCTCTACACAGGTATCCTCGTGGCCTCCAACTTGGCATTTCTGAAAATGGGTTCTGTGGGCTATTTTCATGGGTAATTGATAGATATTGCATGGGGGGAAAATCCATTCTCGGACAGGCATCGATTCAGTGAACACCTCTCTTTTGACTAATTGACTAGAGTCGAAGTTGGCTGTGGACTAACATGAAATTGTGCTCAGTAACGTTGCCATGTACTGAAAGATTTCCCTTGGCTCTTTCCCCGACAGTGACTATGGTTATGAGCGACACAGCAATGGCCAGTGCCTGCCAGCATTTTGGTTCAATCCATCTTCTCTGTCGAAAGACTGCAGCTTGGGACAGAGTTACCTCAACAGTACTGGGTGAGTGTCTGAAGCCGTGACCTTGACCGCTCAGCCCTGGCTGCTTGTCAGCACGTGTTAAACTGACGGAATTATTTCTGATCAAAGGTCAGGCCTGTTTCATTACAGCACAATTGATTTGCTTTTGTTCTTTTTAATAATGAAGCACAGAGTTAGATTAATAGTGCAAATTTCATCTGAGAATAAAACCCTAGTGGTAAATAAAGAAATAAAATTGGTTTGAAGATAATAATGATACTGTATAAATTGCTTCCTTGTTTGATACTTTATTTCAGAAGTCTTTTTTCTGGTACCTAATGGTTAGAGAACAGCTTTAACCATTAACTGCATCCCTGAGAGGAAGGCCAAATACATGTTCCGAGCTACTGGTTGAAGCTCGAAGAGGTCTGCATTTCCTGGCTTATAGACGTGGAACCTAGAGTCAGAAAGGGAGCTCCCAGACTTTGCAGGAGCATAACAGTCTTAGTAGGAATGCATTTCCTTTTCTGTGTCCAATTTTGACACGTCTAAGGCATGCATTCCGATGTTTACAAACCTGGAATTGGGGTTCAACGTTATGTATTGTAGCGTTTATCCAATATTATTTAGTAAATATCAAAGAAGGGAAAACATTTCATCACTTTTCCACACGCGTATTTGATGTTTATAGACTTAGAAAACAGCACATGTGACTGATTTGGATTCTAATTCAATCTGCAAAGAGACTTTTTTTAGCCATTTGAGAACATTAAATATGGACTGGTGGTTAGGTGAGGTATTAGTATTTTCCAGAGATATGTTTTTATATCTGGTAGACCAGGTGCACAGAGAGAGAACTCATATATTTTTTACGGGGAATTGGGTTACGTAATTATGGCGGTGGGCAAGTCCACACCCCAAGATGTTCCGGGTACGTGGCAAGTGAGGGACCCAGGAGACCTGACGGTGTGTTTCCAGTCCTCGTCTGAAGGCAGGAGAACCAGGAGAGCTGACCTTCCAGTTTCTGGCTGAGGGCCAGCAAGCTCCCAACCCAGGGAGATCTGCTGCCTCCCTCTGACGGCGAAGGCAGACCAAGCGGATGTTCAGGTGAAGGCCGTCAGAAAGGAGCACTCTCCCTTACTCTTGAGGAGATCGGCTTTTCTGTTCCATTCAGACCTTCACCAAATGGGGCGAGGCCCACCCACGTTGGGGTGAGCTATTTGCTTTACTTAGTCTACTGACTTACATGTTAATGTCACCCAAAACCACCCTCCCAGAAACACTCAGAGGAATGTCTGACCAAATATCTGGACACCCCCTGGCCTTTGCAAGTTGCCAAGTGACATTAACCATCACGGGTGACATTAGGTTACATCTGAATCTAAGCACTATATTATATTGATGATATTATATTAACAAAATATAGTTATATACTTAGGGATGATCATTGTAGTTTGGTTAAGGCCAAAGACAAAATAAACCTTATCTTTTAGAGATACATAATGTGTGAAATTTTCTTTAAAATGTTAAAAAAGGGAAAGGTATTGGTAATATTTGAAGATGTTAATGGAGGCATGGAGGTTTATTATACTCTTTTCTCACATTTGTATGTATTTGAAAATTCTATATTAAAATATTAAAACGAGAAGGAAAGGCAGGAGGAGAGGGAAGGGGGGAGGGAGGGAGAGGGGGAGGGAGGAGAGTGAGCTGCAGGCATTTCGCCAGCAGGCCAGTCCAGTCGACCATTTCTCCTCTCGTTTCTCATGCCGGCTGCAGTGCAGGGCTGAGGGCTGCCAGTGCTTCAATTACGTGCTTCCCTGTATTGGAAAGAAATTAACTTTTTATATTTAATTAAAAACAAAGATTACCAAAGTAGTATTCAGGGTCCAGCACAAATAGTGCCTGTTTTTTATTATAAAAGCATAAGCAAGTAATTCTGTAACATAACAGTATCACGCTCAAGCACACCATGTGACAGTTTAGGTGAAATGTTCCAATTAAAGCTATAAATGATTACACCCATATTATTAGCCTGCCAACCACACTCAAGCAGGTATGGATTCTGCCGGACCCTGTATACTAGTCTTCAAAAAGAAGGGGACAAAAACTCAAACAAGTATTTCAAATATCATTTTCTCTGATGTTTTGGATCCCTAGAACCTTGAAGAAATAAATTGTGATTTCTTTGATCTGTAACACAAAATCAAGGAAAAATACAAAACAATAACATCAACAAAAGAAATGCTTTTACAGTGAGTCAGTGGGGTCTCCAGCATCTAACGATATGGAGAAAAAATTGAGGGGCTGATGGAATAAACTTAATTTTATAAATAAGTTATAGCTTAAATAACTTAAACTTTTATTACTTGCATGTAGCAGAATGTTCAGGCCTTGTAAACGGCATCGGAAACCTCTACAGCTAATTTCAAAATTGATTTTTTTTTCACTACCTCAATGTGTCAAGGAAGTTATATTACTCTCTCTTTGGTATTGATGAGAAGGGGCTGAAGTACAGAGGAGTCCGAATTGTTTTAGATGCTACTCAAATCCCTAGGATAGGCAGAATGAATACACACACATATACATGCCCATACATGCACACAAAGCTTTTCAAGCTGCCTCTAAATGGGTTTCACCAGTCTTTAGGCAAACTCAATGCGTGAAATCCAAATAAATCTTGACATATATAAAATAAAGGATCAGAGATGCTAAAATTATAGTGTTCTATTCCATGAGAGTTTTCATCTATTCCCTATACAATTACAATTAAATTTAAAAATGTGACTCAGTGGTCAGTATCCAGGTATATACATGTTTGTCAATGTGATTATGTTTATTAATCACAGAATCACAAGTGTCACTTGCTAGGGCTTAACCTTTACTCTGAGAGGTTTGTTCATGTCAGCGGGTTTTACATAATAGCATCTGACCCTGAAGGGTTTTTAAGTACCCATAGCTCCTGATTTCATCTATTCCATGCAATTTTTTTGCAAAAAAAGCATCAGCATCAGTGAATGAGCTTGTGTACAAGAGCATGTGGTAAATACCAGCCATCCATGGGCGTGGCAAATGCCCAGCTCTTAAGTGTAAGGTGCTCCCAGGTGAAGGAGTGACCACCCACATAGGGACCGATGGGCTAAAGTGTGTGTGTCTGAGGGGGTGACACTAGTAACCTCACTGGTCAGTGTACTGTCTACACATGCTGCATTCGCACTAGGACCGAGAGGACCCTTAGCTGGGACAGGAGTCTGAAATTATCTTCAAAAAGGGCCTCCTCCCATAGATTTCTGCTTCACAGTGTCTGTGGCCACTTAGGGAGTTACTAAGAGGTACAATGCAGATGGAATTAAAAGAGAACTGTCTGCCTTTCTTCATGTGGCTCCAGTCCCAGGCCCCAGGCTCCACTGAGCTCTGTGTTGATTCATCGGCACATTGACACAGACTCGGGATTTAGCGTTGTAGCCACTGCAGTGCTGCCATTAAGCACTTAGCTTTCTACTTAAAGGTATTCCATTGCACAAGAAATGTTGACATAGTTTTTCTATAGTTTAGAAGTCCATTTAGATCATCACCCCAATCCTGCCCCCTTTTCCACACAACTGTGACCTGGCTGATATGTGTGTTGTCTGACACTTTTCATCTCCCAGTGAATAATTACACCAGGAATAAAATACACAAAATTAATTGGGGGAGGTTATTTTTATATGTGATTTTCTAATAGATACATTGTTCTTTTTTTCTTTTTTTTATTCAAAAACATATCTTCTACATCCTTCCAAGTCAGATTATATGAGGTACCTTCTACCCAATTACTTTTCATTCCATGGGACTGAAGCACCTGGGTTTCTCAGTCACCCCTTGCTATGGGCATTTTGCTGATGTCCTATTTTCTGCCACTGTAAACAATGCTGCAATTAACATTCTCACACCATAATCATTGCTATTAAAAGCATGCAACGATAATTAGTCTCTTTTGGCAACTGGAGGTGTTTTTGCTGATGGTTAAAGCAAATCCCCCCCCAACTCTCTGGTTGCCCCTCAGACCTGTGGACCCAGGCTTTGCCAGATCTCTCCCTGCAAGGGTTGAACACTAGCTCCCTGCTCACACACCTCCTTTGAGTCCTACAATTAGAGACTCATTTCTCCTTTAAAATGTAAATGTTGATGGATTCTGCAAAGCTGAGAGGAAGGGTAAGCAGCATTTCCCAAATTAATGAGGTGAGGAAGGTCATTTTAGGCAAAAGAAGCAAGAGATGACCTGGGTGAAAGGGCCACTAGGGCATTTTTCTCAAGAACAAGCCTTGGTGTTAGTGCCTGGAAGCCTCTAGAAGCAAGGAGCCACCGTGTGCCCTAAGTGTCTCCAATGCCAGTTTCAGCCCATCCATAAGCATTGCTTGCTCAGTGTATACGGAATCTATTAGCTTCAGGCTGGGATGAAGCACAGAGGCATCCCGAGTGCAAGGTCAGCTTGAAAGAAGCCCCTCCATACATGTTACTCCCCGGACACCTCACTCACCTCACAGCAAAGCACACGTGGGGTCATGCAGTCAGAATTTGAATGGAAGGGTATCTAGGTAACAAACGTTTCTTGTCAGTCAGGCCAGAGAAGCAAATCTTCCAAAATCACCTTTCTGAGAGTTTAGCTGAAAGCATGCCGATAAACCTCCCTTTTCCTTGTCTTCTCTTTTTTTGTAATGCCTCACTTTATAAATGGTTTTGTGTGCTTTCACAGTGAGCTCATTACCCTGTATACAGAGCAGAGTTCTCAGGTTCACTCACTTGCCCATGATGGGAGCATTCTAGCACAGGTCAATATTATGCCCAGTAGAAATGCTATTTTAAGGGGATGGCAAAATATTTATCAGCTTCTCTATGCAGAATGGCTGTGCAATTTTTGTTTCGGTTCTTGGCTAGCACTCAGAAATGCTAGTTGGAGTAAGAGCTGAAATGGGTGCAAAATGTCCCTCCAGGACGCTGTGGCCACTAGTCCTTAGCCCTTGGCCCATGGAGCAGCGTGTGAGCGCGGTTCTGCTGTGCTCCCC